TCAGTGCGACCTCGGCACCCCCCAAAAAATCAACATACCTATAGACTCTCCGTTTGTACCAATCATCATTGGATAAAATACGTACTTTAATCATCCATAATGTTAGTATATCTACAATCTTTTATCCATGTTTATAGGTGCTTGGAGGGTCTGGGAATTGCCGTTTGGAGTCCATATAGTAATATAGCATATTTGGATAAACAATATGTGGTTCAATGATATTTGTTCAGACGTGTTCGGACGATGCCAGATGTCAAGTCTCAAATTTTGAGCGCTATGATGATTCTGGCAAGTTGTTCCAACGGTTTTCCATCACCAGGGACCAGCAGCACCAGCAGCAAAATTTATGTTCTGGAAGTTTAGAGACTTTTGGAGTATCAAATTTCTGGTGAGAGAAGAGATCATCATCTTTGACATGAAGTAGTAGGCCAATAATAATCAACTCAACTTCGCAAAATCCAACTACTTGACGCCGCGTAGTGATCTACCTATGATTACCTACGTTTGCCGTTCCCATTGTGGCCATGCCATGAGTCTATGTAAGTTTCTCCTCTCCGCTCACTGGAAGATAACTTTGATGACCATGTTCGAATGAACTGAAATCACACAGTTACAGCTTGTAACAGTTATACATGGCTTTAAACAAAAACTCAAGTGATATTTTTCAGCAACATTACATCACCAACTAGATCCAACTAGTTTCAGGGGTTCTACGTATCCCAAATTTCCTTTCGGCGACCGGGCCAGCAGCAGGGCAGCAGCTGAAAGGTGGCAGAACAGCAAACAGCTGAGCTGCAACATCGCCTGGCAGGGAAGATGGTCACCTCCCCTGACACCATGGTGAAAGGTGCGGGATGAAAACCACATATTTTTGGGACCGAAAAAAATGGATGTGTGATGCTGGAAATATTAAAATGGGGGGATGGGATTATACGTTTGTTTTTTCCTGGAAAATCAAAACAATCAAAAACAAACAATGAACATGAACAACATATATCTACATACATCAATATATATATACACATATGTCTAACTCTTTGCCTATGTTCTTCTCTAATCATTTATCAATCTATCTGACTTATAAATGGTTCACCAAGCTGAAAGTAGGTCCTTTTGTGATGTGTCCCTTTTCTGACCATCATGTACAGTGATGTCACACTGAGGTTGTTACAGTTGTTACCATATGTTACTATATGCTACAAGTTATCCCGTTGCCTCTCTCTCCTTCTCGCCATCGGCGTCCGTTCGCCCAGATCTATCTCCCTCTCTCTCTCTCCCTCTCTCAATTTGTCCAGATCTATCTACCTACCTACCTACCTATTTGTCAAAAATAATATGTACATAAATATGCACCTATACTTGGTACACTAACTGGCCTGCTTAATTGCTTTGTACAGACTTGTTTCTGCCATAAGACATGAGGATTTTTAAACCCAATGAGCAAAGGATGTCACTTTTGAAGGTATCTAAGTCTATAGTCTGGCCATATTGCAATCCTTGGCATTCCCCACAAAAAGATCAAAAAGAAAGATAGAACAGTACTTTATCACCAATGGATGTAAAAACATATTGTTCTATGCTTTTCTACCTAGACACCCCGCTTGCAACCATATAAATGGCTACTTAATTAAGTACTCTTTCAAATAATGTGGTAAAATGGCAGGGTGTATGGGTACCCTTGACACCTCCTCATAGCTCCTGGAGATGCCCAGGCGTTCGATGAACACCTTGCAACTCGTGGAACTTCTTGCGCAACTGTTTCTTGTGTACGAACGAGTCATTTTTAATCCCAAAATCATGGGGGAATCCCATATGCGAACCGTGGTGCTGGAATATTTACCAACATTTGTCCGAACAAAGTCACCCAGTCATGTAGGTAAATATACCATAGGTGGAGCATATGGGAATGGCTCAAACATGCACAAGAAAGGAGGGTTGACAATGAAAATCTGCCGGGGTCCTAAATGTTGACCCATTTGATACCCGTGTGCGCAGTATTCAAAATCCTCATCCCTTATACTGGTCATGGGTGATAATAATCCCCAATAAACCGGGTAGTCTACTGCAAGTACAAAGCCCTATCATAGCTAACCAACTATAATTTAGCAATCCAATACCCGTATGACTGAGGGCTGAAACCTCATTGAAAATTGCTAAATTATATTAAATTACGTTAAATCCCTATGAAACAAACCAATCAAAATCAAACTACCAATCATTTATAAACTATATCCAATGTTCAGTCGTATCACAAAAAATCACATATTGCAAATGGTTGAATAGGAAAAAATACATGAGATTTGTACCATTTGTATTATGTGATTTGACCAATATGACCATCATACTGGTGCTTAGTAGGGACTGGGCAAATGACCCATTCCATAGCTATGAACAATCATCCAGTTCCGCCATTCCCTACTAAGCCATTTGCAATCCATTTGAAAATCCTGAAAAAGGGGTTTCGGGGTACCCGTAAATTATCAATTTTTTGGTGGATTTTCCCTTGTAAACCATCCGGAAAAAAGCAGTACCTCCATCAACTTACGCGATTGGAGCTTCCCGACATCACCGGAACGGAGCAGGGCGACGCCGCCAAACTTCCCAGCCTGTGCGGGTAACCGGCCCCCCGGTTGGTATGGATATGGGCATAGCAACCCCCCAAGATCGAACAGTCAAATCCTTTGAAAATAGATGAATTACTCTATCTTTTTGGGGCTATAGGCTTAATTCATCTCCCTCTGTAAAAAATATTAAAAAATGAAAACATATTTGCATATCCGGTATGTTTGTTTATGTAAATTATAGACGAATGAATGGATAGATTGATAGACAAATGGATAGACAAAGGAAATAGTTAATAAACCGATCTATTTGATGTCAAACAGTGGGTGCAATTTACTCTGGTGGATACAAACTTACTTGTCAGCATTGTTCCTTCACATCAGCACCGAATACTCTTCAAAGGGCAATTTTGATCCAAAAGGTGCACAGAAAAACAAGGCATCCCAACATGTCTCGACTGGCCCTGGGAAACCACAACAAACGGCATTTTTTACAGCTACTTGGGTGGTCTCAGGGCCGCGCCATATTGGCACAGCCAGGGACAGTGGAACAGGCGAGGCACGGGAGTTGCTTTTCTGAAGGTGCGGTGGTATCTACCGTGGGTCTATACAAAATTGCAAATGACGATATGGCAATATTCGCGATATTTAGGAAGGGAATAATTTGAGAGTTAGAACATGCAATACCGGTTCAAAATCCAAAAAGGAACAACCAAAACAATCACATCTGGCTCACCAACAACAGCCAACAACATTGGGCACAAACCATCAACAACGATTGAAGGGAACACAGTTTCATGTGGGACATGATGTCAAGTAAAGCAATAATAAACCACCGATATTGGGTTGCCCACTCCCGGTGCTCCAAAATTGGCAAGGCATCATCACACCCACGTGAAAGGAGCGGCGTGGGACTTTGGCTCTAGGCCCACGGTGAACCCGAAAGTGAGCCGTGAGCCGTGGCCACTGGTAGAGATGCAGCAAAGGGAGTTAGATACCACGACTGGCCACAACGGCTCAATGCAAAACTATTTCTACATGTATTTGTAAAAAATAAAAATCATACATACATATATGAATATAAATAAATAATATTTGGATGCTTGTATATCTGCGTATATGTAAGCAATATATAAATATATAGACTTTCATAACTGTTTTTGTATATATATATATATATATGCCTGTAGTAAAATATAAAGACGTACCCTGATATCCCCAGATTCAATATTATACACTATGATATGATTCTCCCATGGTACACTATCTGGGTGATGTTCTATACCGCCAGCCTATACCGCCAGCCAGCGACATTTGGCCTCAGGAAGATGCAGCTCATAGTTCGCCACATTTCATCCAGCAGCTGAACTAGAACAAATCATACGGATAAGATTTTAATCTCATCCCCCTAATATTAAATATCCCCTAAATGGTGCCAATTATGTGTAAATCCCCTACTAAACCATGATTTCAGGGGGGCGTATAATACTAGGTGGATGGGATTAATCAATGCGAATAATATGAACTGCAAGGACATGAGCATACCATGAAAAAACGGCTGGGTTCCTCCCAGGTCTCTAGCTCCGCTAGGTTGATAGATGAAATCGGATGAACTTAGTTTAAGTAGGATTATCGCAGCTTCTACTAGATAGACACGTAGGGACAGTAAGAATCCAATATGTATACATCTGCAATCATACTCATACATATATATATGTACAGATACACACACATATATATAATATGTGGTAAACTCAAAACAACCCTAGCATTTGGGAATGGTTATGACCGTTAATATGGTTATGCCATTCATTTATGGTGATTTTGGGGATGGTTTATCGTTGTGTTTACATGTGTTTACCACATTAAATGACTTTGTATGAACGGGGTTGGTTGTTTCCTAGGGGGGGGTCCAGCCCCTGAAATAGTAGACCCCAGTGGCTGTTTTCCAGAGGGGCCTGACCCCCCCATACCCCTTTTGAGCATTTCTGAATGGATAAAATCTAGGGGCCCAAGTCTAGCATTCGTAAACCAAACATTTTTGCTAACACTCAACTTGGACAAGGGAACCAATACTTTGGAGCATTTTGGACGTTCAAAAATGATCAAAGGTCAGGCCCCTCAAAATATTTTGGGCATGTTGTGAATATTTAGGACATACATGTTTTATCTGTGAATCTTGGAGTGAGATAAAATCCAAGGGGCTGGACCCCCCCCTTGGGTCCTCTTTGGAAGCGAATACCCTTGAGGGGACCTAGGGGGGTCCAGCCTCTTAGAATTTATCTCACACTTATGATCGAGATAAAATCTAGCATGTCTGCAGATAAAATCAAGGGACCTATCGTCATTTTTACTAAGGCTAAAAAAAAATAGCCATGCACCCCAGGGGCTGGAGCTCCTAGATCTCAGCTGGGAGCTACCAACGGGGTTTTTGTATGTGCACATACGATATTCATTGGCCAATGGCCACGGCTGGTCTGTGTGGCCAAGCTCGTCTCAGACAGCCTGGCGCCGCAGCCACGGCTACAGGCCGCAGCGCAGCCTAGGATGGTGCTGCCGTCTGCTCCTGCGGCACAGGAATTACGGCCAGGGGTGCGTCCCAGTGAGTGGGTTGGGTTTAAGGGACACTTGATTGTCGAAACCATGTTTTTTTACCATGGAATATCAGCCTTTCCTGCAGATTTTGTAATCATGCGATTCTGGGAAGTTGGTAACTGGGCAATGAGCATGTGAAATCATCCAGTAACTACATTGGATATACATCAGTGATATGAGCTATCAACATCCATCAACCACTAAATGAGATGCACCCAGAGTAGGAAAATATACTGTAAGATACCATCGTGCTGGCATCTTTACCTACATAACTCGGCGATACCAGTGGCACTTTTGGAATAGCATCTAACAGCACCAGAAATGGTTTCGATGGGGAGATGCTGAAAAAGAACTAGGAAATCAACATGAAACAGCTTACTGAAGGGGCCCAAAAAGGAACATTCAGGTTTATCATCGCAAATGTCCTCCATGCACATCGTGTCATATACACACTTGCATGCACACATATTCATTTATAGAGAAACGAATACATATTATTTTAAATCTATATTTATTTAATACATTCATAAATAATCATATATATATATAAATGAAGCTAGGGGCAACAACTAATACGTATAAAGTGTAGGCATGCCTTCCATCGGCAGAAGGGACTAGCAATCTCTGATGGCAACAGCACCAGCAGCATGGCAACACAGCAGCAACATGCACATCTTGCAAATCACAAAGTGCCTTCTGTTCGAAAAAATACGATAACAATAGAACATTACAGTACCACAAAAAACATGATGTACCCCGCTATTGTGTTGGACATGGAGGAAAGTAGATGAACATTGAGGGTAATGGATTACAGTATATTATATTTCCTAGTGCGACTTTTTTGAAACTGAACAGTCGCTTTCAAGGTATGAGTGACGCTCAGGGGCGCATATGTTTAGGGGATGGACATCTAAAACATTTTTTTTTGGTTGGTTCTACCCAATTTTGTGCATTTCCTGTGACAACCAACATGAAAAAAGAGAAGTTGGGTTTCAAAGATGAATGAAACCTTTTCTATATACACATACAAACGTTGCTATTGACAAATATCAGTTTCACGTTCTGTTCCAGTTTTTTTTCCTCAAAATGAAGCTGGAGATGATCGAACCTCCCAAGCTCCATAAAGAGCAGTGGATTTTGATTCAGATTCCCTCATCAAAAATCACGATCACGTTCACTGTTCCTCCCACAATGTGTATGGACATGGACATATGCATATGCAGCATCTATTGATGTAACTAGGAACACGGCCTTTAGAAGGCCGTAATGTTTTTGTGATCAACGGGGTGTCATGGATGATGTTTGATGTGGTCGTGCCAATAGGATTTTGTTTGATGTGTTTTTAAAGGCGAGAAACCCCTTATTCTGGTGCATAAAATAAAAAATAAGCATTTCGCCTAGGCGAAACTATCATTTTTGATGTTTCTCAGAACTCCCCAACTAATTCGACCTGTAATGGTTTGATATGAGTTTAAAGGCCGGAAACCCCTTATTCTGGTGCATGAAATCAAAAAACAAGCATTTCGCCTAGGCGAAACCACTTTTTTTGTATTTCCACATGTTATGTCATGATGAAATTGGCACAGCCTGCCAAACGACCTTGCAACCGACCTGGATTTCCACATGCAACCTTGTCACGTATAAATATCTAATTCCTATACGTGCACAAGTCCAGAGAACTTACAGGAGCGTAGCATGACGTATCAGTGAAAAGCACCAGAGAACTTACAGGAGCGTAGCATGACGTATCAGTTAAAAGTACCGGAGAAATTACAGGAGCGTAGCATGACGTATCAGTTAAAAAGTACCGGAAAACTTACAGGAGCGTAGCATGACGTATCAGTGAAAAGCACCAGAGAACTTACAGGTGCGTAGCATGACGTATCAGTTAAAAGTACCCGAGAGCTTACAGGAGCGTAGCATGACGTATCAGTGAAAAGTACCCGAGAACTTACAGGAGCGTAGCATGACGTATCAGTGAAAAGCACCAGAGAACTTACAGGAGCGTAGCATGACGTATCAGTTAAAAGTACCGAGAACTTACAGGAGCGTAGCATGACGTATCAGTGAAAAACACCAGAGAACTTACAGGTGCGTAGCATGACGACTCTACTTACCCAGCAAGTTCACATGAACGTTTATACCTGCCCCACCCCACCCCACCCCACCCATGTCTGCACGCACATACCGGCACACACAGAGACGACTCTACTTACCCAGCAAGTTCACATGAACGTTAATACATGCCCCACCCCACCCCACCCCAACCCCCCGATGTGCACGAAACACCACGGCCTTCTAAAGGCCGTGCTCCAACTAGACACACACACATATATATATACATATATATATATGTATATGTATATGTATATATATATATACATATGATTATTCATGTACATAATAGCTGCATACCTGATGATTAAAAATATGTTTGTACATATATGTGTGCATTTGAATATGTATTTAAAAATGTATATGTATGTATTTTTGTGGAAATAGGCAAATTTGTATACATGTAACATCTATATATTCACAGCTATCAATAAGAGTATAATATATGTATTTGCAAATGTATATATATATATATACATACGTGTATGTTGGTAAAACAACTGTGATTTTATATATATTTATGTATGTATATCTAAATATATATATATATAACTATAAATAAATATATAAATATAAATATATATATATAAGAATCAACTTTTATGTGCTGTAAACATATTTTATCATATCTTTATCTTTTTATCATATTATAGATGTGCTTTTGGTCATCATTCAGTTTCGTTGTTTTGAACCTGGTCTATCCATCAGTCTTTGTCACATCTCCAGGACACCCAGTCTAGACAATACTCAATATTCATTCAATACCGAGTAATTCTTGATGTGTTTTGTCTGTCCGCCTCGGCGAATACTACTCCTTCTTGATCAACATCCAACGTTTCATGTCGCGTTTGCATTTTGAATTGTGTTTGTATATATGAATACCCTCCTGAAAGTGAATATAGACATGGCAGATCCATGACACATCCACCTTTTACAGACCGTTCCTCCAAGATTGGTCAAAGGAAAACTCTATAATTATAGAAGGAACGACATTGTTTCCACAGAATATTTCAGTTTCCCATACATGCTCATTTGAACCAACATGAACGTCTTGTTTTTCTCAATGTACCTGTACCTCAAGATATTGTTCAGCAAATGCTGCTAATTGAATGCGCGCCAATCATTTTTAATTTTACGGGGAATTCCTTGTAATTACCTATAAACATTATAGCTCCATAGAATAGCTTGTCATTTCACGCCCTGCGGCTGCCGTCCATCGCTCCTTCATGGAGAGTGCCAATTGCAGCGGCTGCTGTTGGCGACGCTCCACCACTTCCTTCCACAACCTCGGACGCCCGAGCAACGTCTCAGTGGATCAACATGGGATGAATCAAAAACATGTATAAACAGTGGTTGGGACAACAAACAAATTAGTTTTAGAGCAAAAGAAAACATTGCCAAAATAGAAATAATAAAGGTTGTATAAATGCAACAAGCCAATAAACCAAGCTATACGTCTAGTCGCTGCAGAAGCCAATAGTTGGGACCGGGGGAGCGCCCAGGCCTAGTACGTGGTTAATGCTGCCATGGTTCGCTTCCCGAATTCCAATGAGATCAGCATCAAATACATATACGTAATCTAAGTGTGCTGCTTATACTTTTGAATGTTTGTGCTTGTGTGCGAAAAAACATGCTTTACAGATGCAGATATACATATATACATATATACATATATACATATATACATATATACATATATACATATATACATATATACATATATACACATATACACATATACATATTTATATATATACATATATACATATATACATATATACATATACATATATACATATAAATATATACGCACCATACATGTTTATGTACTGTGGATGTGCAAGTATATCAAAATATGTTTGTGTATATATATGTTGTGAATATAAATCCGCGGGCCTGCCGGCGTGTCTGATTGGAAGGTGTTGTTCCTGTTCTGTTCTTGGCTTGCACTTGTTACCTTGTTCTCTTGCTACGCGTTCTTGCTTCGTCTGAATTGGGCCCACCTGCCCCCTCAATAAGTAGCTAAGCCTAAGTCTAAGTATTAGTAGCAGTAGTAGTAGTAGTAGCAGGAATCGTAGCAGGAGTAGTAACAGCAGTAGAAGTAGCAGTAGTAGAAGTGGCAGTAGTAGTAGCAGTAGTACTCCTACTCCTACTCCTGCTCCTACCCCTACTCCTATACTCCTTGCTTCCCCCCCAGTACTAAACTGGTAGTGCCGGTAATTGTCTACAGCACTACAGTCGTCTACCGGTACTAGTCACGGGAGGCAAATGGTACTAAACTGATCGACCGGTACTTATACTCATTTGGTATGCTGTCCATAGGTTGTTCAAGCACGGGCTTGCTACTCAAGCTGCTTCTGATCTACGGTTCTGTCTTCGTCTCTTCTTCTTCTTCTTCTTCTTCTTTTTCCTCTCTCAGGCTTCCACCTAGCGTGCACTTCCTTGGGGAAACCTCTCTCCGCTTCCACCCTGTCCCCTTCCATGCAGCGGTCTGCTGTCAAGCCAGAGGCTCATACATAGTACCTGGGGGTACTTTTTGTTGGGGGCGGTACAGCGGTACTCATTTGGAATACGGTCAGCTACCTAGAGTGCACATCAAACTCCCTTGGGGCCACCCCTCTACGGCCGGTTGGCTTGCCGAAGGCAATAATATATATATATATATATATATGCATACAACACACACACATATATATATATTCATAAAACAATATTAATATACATGCATACTGTGAAGAAATGTGTGAATATACATATTTATAATATGTATATATCTATCTATCTATCTACCTATCTATCTATCTACCTATCTATCTATCTATCTATCTATTTCTATATATCAATATATATATGTATATATTATGCATATCTATGTACACATAAACATTTATACTGTAAAACAAACATGAAAATAAGTAGTACATTCTTAAATGTATAAGCATGTTTCTACACGGTGTATATATATATATTTATTTATTTGTTTATACAAAATCTTTATATATATATATATATTTACATATATGGGTTGGTGACCACTTAGTGACCCCATTGACGGCACTAGGATGATCTCATGAACCTCTGGAGGGTATCCACTTCCACGATCTTCCATCTGGGCACATGGACAGTGGCTTTGAACCAGTCGAACTTGGCATAATATGGTTTCATAGTGTTTCATACCCTACAAATCAATTTTACCAATCATCTCAGTATATCAGTCGCATTCAAGAGCAGCTGAATTGTCATCCGAAAAGTGGACTTCAAGCGCACAAAATGCAGTGACTCAGCTACTGTTATCTTCGAATCGAACATGTTCCGCAACACATCTAGACATTTCATTCCGCATGACACATAGCTAGCCTAAGCAACCCATGTTGCCTAATTCGATATGTGTATCAGCATCAAAATTTCCAGGAAAACGTACAGGAAAGCCCTAAATGTGGCAACAATCCAACTCTAGAATTTTGATGGCCAACCCTCCGTCCCCCTGTTCAACCTTAGATTCCCCCCCGCCAAAAAAAAGAGGGTGCATTGTTCAAACTTCCGTTCGTATACCGACATCTATCATGTATGTATGTATGTTTGTCTGTATGTATGTATCTATGTATGTATGTATGCATGCATGCATGTATGTATGTATACATCGTGTGTATATGCATATATATATATATATATTTGTTTATATACATTTCAACACTAAACAAATCATCATATCCCCACCTAAACCCATCAAAACACTCAAATACTATATGCTCATATATATATATATACTCATATACTCATACTCATACTCATACTCATATATAATCGTCATATGTATTCATATGTATTATGTACTCATGTACCTATCATATTCCCATCTTTTCAGCTAAAACAAAAACAACACACCAGTCACCGAGGTCACTCGCGCTCGTGCTTCACGCGCTCCAGCTGCGACTCGATGTGTTGCTGCGAGATCTGCAACAAGCGCAGCACGCTGTGGTCCGCCTTCTTTGCCACCATGTCCTAAGCCGCCAAGCATGCGAAGCCGAGAAATTAGGAGTATATATACAGTACATATTTATAACTTTATTAATTCTGATGCATATGTATATTTAAGTATGTATTGGTGTATATATATATATATTTATCTCATGTTTTTTGCAATAACTGTGGTTGTATGAAATCATACATAAAAATTGATTATTTATCCGTATATGTAAAAAATATATATATATATATCGCAAAAATGGTCGGACAAAACTATGCAATAACAATAACATGGATAAATGATGATAAATGGATAAATTATGAAAATAAGGCATAAAGTAATTCAGGTCATGTTGGGATAGTTACCCCTACATTCACCATTATTCCAATGATGTCGCAGTCAGGTCGTTATCATCGTCCAGTGATAATCACATCATGCTTCAAAGCATACAGTTTCTTACTTAGCAAAAAGGCTCATCTGAGATAGACCTAGCGACAAAAAAAGGCTTTTGAAAGTTGTGACAGATGACTATATCAATGATTCAAAGATCTGAGAATACAAGCCTGAGAACCAAGGCCCATTTGCCAAACCAAGATTTAGGGGGTGTACCAGCATATCCAGCAAAAGTCCCCCCAGCAAAAAGGGGGCGGAATGTGTCAGTAAACATGCGTTGGTTCGGAATCTTGCTCCATAAAATTGTACAACTCGGACACGGTTTCCCTTCAGCAAACCCCATCAAACACCTATGGCATGCAGGGAAGTTGCATGAAGTTGCATGAAGTTGCATCGATATGTTGAACGAAAGAATGACCACCGTCCCCCGTGGGGAGCCCCTTAAAATGGTCCCTCCCAACATTGTCCGATGGCTCTGGCTCTTGGGGATTTCTGGAGTGCCATCAGTGGACTGGTGGCTCTGAGTTAAAACCAACTGCAATAAATTGAATTATATATACATTCTCAAGTTCCGAACTTCATTCACCCATATCTAGTTGTACCAACCTTGAATCGAAAAACTCCAAGGTTCGTTTTTGGGGGTGGTGAGGGTTGAGGTTCTCATTTTAGTAGTATAGCACTGTATCATTTCTCTAGGCCGAATCATGTGAATCCATCAGCATGGATTTGTGACTCTGGCATTGGCATTGTTAGTCTTTATTTGATGGTTTGTTGATGTTTGTTGATACACTCCTAAAGTTGAACATTTATATAGATATGACGTTTAGTGGATTAAACTATTAGTATGATAAAGTGTGATTTAAAAAAACAAAAAAAAACATCTACTCCTCCGAGAACACGACAAACAGTAATTCAGTATGTCGCTGTGTCTGAAAATAGGGCACCATGAAATTCAATTGTTTGTGATTCTTTTGCCTGAGGGGTATACCGCATCACCAAGCCACCAAGATGTTGCGGAATCGCTGGGAGCAACGTTGACGCCACGCTTTGTCCACACGGAAGGACATGTTCTCAGCACACTCCTGGAAGTCGATCGGAGATCATGAGGGTTTGGCACCTGAAAATTCAGAGGAAAAGCCAACAACCATGGTTTAATCAAAAGTCTGGATGAAGGGTTTTCTACCTTCTCAATGGTATGTGCCTGTCTCAACCCTCCTCCCTGTATCAAAGGTGCTTTCTTTTTCCCCTCCTCAAAGATCCTGGTTTCCCAGCCGTATTCCTGCAAAACTTTCCCATATTCGAAGGATTTCTCAGGGCCAAGTGTTTTCCCACAGTGAAGGCTCCCGCTCAAGGCTGCCAAAAAAAAAAAACGGAGACAAACCCATACCCCGGGGAAGAACACTTGCGACCGAACATTGCAAATATGCATCAAACATGCTATGTGTTTTTCTCAATGGTATGTGCCCGTCTTAATTTTTTATTTTATTTTATTTTATTTTTTCTCCCCGGAGGTCCCGGAGAGGAACCCTTGGAATTTCTTCCCCCGGAGGTCCCGTAGAGGAACCCTTGAAACCCTTTTGCTCGTTGTTTTCTCTTCGTCGTCTTTCGTCGTCCGTCGTGTTTCAATGGGGATCCTTGAGACAGACACTTGACCTGAACAAGACCACAAACGAGAAAGTACCTTGGCGCAGACCTTCGATTTAAGATGTCACATGTTCCCCATTGAATTGCCATTTTGGGGTGTATACCGTGTCCCCCATTTTCAGAGGCACTCATGCGGAGAATGTGTTTTCAGGCATGTCCAAAGTCACATTATGGCACTAAAGGGTGTAGAGCCGTATCTTCCCAGTCCGTCTGTGAGTGAAAATTTCTGGTTGGTCTTCTCCACCCACCTGAACAAAAACAATGTGCATACATAAATTTAAATATACGAAGAACATACGATTTGTTTAGTTTGATCAATGTATGCACAGCCATGAAGCTAGCAATAGCTTTTGGACCTTTTGGATGTACATTTATAAATATATATGCATATATATATATACACATAAAGCCCATAAAGTAGCAATAACTTTTATACACATATCTATATAAAATCGAATATATATATATACACACCCCAAGTCTTGCAGATTGGGACAAGTGCAATCACTTGAAACCGCCAGTCCTCCCAACCCAAGAGCTCCACATCCGCCTCACCTGTGGTGGAAACTGCTGCTGATTGGAACGGAACGCCATACAGATACGGGTTCCATCATGGTGGGACACCCAAAAAAAACGGAAACTGGCATCAAATATTGAGCATTATTTGAGCCAATGAATCTTGTTGAGATGGGATACCGAAAAAAAAAAACATGATTACCAAAGTCCCTGGGATCCAAGCATCAGCACCCTAAACGGGCGCCAAATCATGTCTTTAAATGTTCTTTTAAGACTGTAAGAATTCTATAGAATTCTAAAGGCTGACATTGGACAACCTTTTGAAGGGTCCAGGTATGCATTCCAGTCTATCTTTTAGTGAACTCGGTACCCTCTGGCAATCTAGAGTTGGCAGAAATGCAACCAGGCATATCCACTTCGTTCCATTTCCACATGGGTATTTAAACATTCAAAAGCTGAGTTTGTCCATTTTCCATACAAGAACAAACAAATTACTTTACTTCGAGTGATCCCCACCATGGCATTTATAAGTTTTGTTACTGGCAAATCTTCTGGCATTCTATCTGACATATCTTCTGGCATTCGGTTTGGCATATCTTCTGGCATTCTACCTGGCATATCTTCTGGCATATGTTCTGGCATATCTTCTGGCATTCTATCTGGCATATCTTCTGACATCCTATCTGGCATTCTATCTGGCAAATCTTTTGGCATTCTATCTGGCAAACATTCTGGCACTTTATCTGGCATACCTTGTGGCATTCTATCTGGCATATCAGAACTCATTCTATCTGGCATATCTTCTGGCATTTTATCTGGCATATCTTCTGGCATTCTATCTGACATTCTATCTGGCGTTCTATCTGGCATATCTTCTGGCATTCTATCTGACATGCTATCTGGCGTTCTATCTGGCATATCTTCTGGCATTCTATCTGGCCGTTGAGGTCCAGTGGTGCTCATTGAGCTCGGAAGGTCCCAGGCTGACGTCCAGCGGTGCTCACTGAGCTCGGAGGGTCCCAGGTTGAGGTCCAGCGGTGCTCACTGAGCTCGGGGGGTCCCAGGTTGAGGTCCAGCCGTGCTCACTGAGCTCGGAGGGTCCCAGGTTGAGGTCCAGCGGTGCTCACTGAGCTCAGAAAGTCCCCGGTTGAGGTCCAGCGGTGCCCAATGCGCTCAGACCCTTGCAGTTGAGGTCCAGCAGTGGCCACTGCGTGCGGAAGTTGGCGAAGAGCTTGGCGAAGAGTTGGCAAGGCGGAAGTGGACATGGAAGTGGAGGCAGAGGTGGTGGAGGAGAACGAGGAGAAGGAGGAGGAGGAGAAGGAGAAGAACAACTCTGATAAAATCTAACAACCCTCACCTGGCAGGTGGGGAATAACACATTCAAGATCAATTAGAAGACAATCCGCCATTCTACCCATACATGCAGAATGTGTCCAAAACATGTTGTCTAAATTCAATGTTCAATGTTCGTGGTGCTTCCACCTACCAACGACATCTCTATATAAGCACATATATATATACTATATACTTATATAGGCCATACCCCAATTTTTAATCAGTCATACCTTCATTCTCTTCATCATCTCTGTACGCCATATCCCAAAATACAAGTGGAATACTTCCTTAAACCCTCTGGATTTCACCCCAAATGATGGATTTGTAGACTTTGTAAGATGTGCTCCGGCATGTCTGCAAAAACCAAAAAACATGTGTATGCATATATATATATATACACATAGAGATCGCAATGAACATGACGCGGAGGGAATCATTTTCTGGGCTCTTAAGAATATTGATATAACTGGACGAACCCAGAATTCAAAACCATCCTGTAATTCATCATAACTATGAACAATATACATTTACACATCATTTTGTCAATCAAATTGTGTTTTCCATAGCCACATTAAACTACCAGAGATTATGCAATCCAAACATAATTAATGATAATATGTTTATCTATGATTGCATCTGTACTTATTTGGATCATCTCCCGTTTTATTTCCACAAAATAATCATGATAAATGTCCGTTTTCGAAATCCTCTATGACGTCTTGGATTTTCCATGAACGAAACGGATCCCATCCGGGGTAGCCACATGACCGACTAGGACACGCCCGACCTTGATCTGCTCCCTCGGCATCGTCGAACTTGGGTCCAGGGAAGACGCCTACCACCTGGCATGTGTTTGAAATTGATGGGTTATCATACAAAAACATATCAAAATATCATTTCCTCCCTCACCACTCGGAAGATAGCGGCAGTCAAGCTGAAGGCGAGCTTATATTATGGGGGATAAATATGTTTGTTATATATATATGTATATATAACAATACAATATATACAGGGATATGCCTTGACTTAAGATGGATTTAGGGGCTTTTTAAAAGGACTTAGGGAAGTTTTATGTTAAGTTTTGTTATAGGTTTTGTAAGTTAAATTATATCGTTTGTATTTTTTGGCGTTAACTGTTAACTTTTGTATTTTTGTTTTGCAACTGTCATGTGATTTTGGGAAGTTCCGTTTTTCCCGCTGCATGTCGTTTCCTTAGCTTTTGATCTCGAAATTTGAAGAGTTTCTGGCAAAAACAACGGTTCGGGTGTGCTTGAGCGATAAACAACAGCTACGGATTTCAGTTTTGAGGAAACACAAAAAAAAACACGTTTTTAACACATACACGTTTCCAAGCACGATGGTGATGGGGGCTGGAAACACAAACGAGTTCCCTTGCCATTTTGGCATTTTCATGAGGATACACATGCGTGTTCCCATGTGTTTGTGGAAACACATCCCGAATGTCGAGATTTTTGGGCACCATGTGTATAGATGTGGAAACACATCTTTAACACATATGGCTTTACAATCACTTTTTATGTATCTGTGTGAAAACACATGCTCATTAACTTGTTCTGGAAGTGTCAAATCTAGAAACACATGCGCCTTTCCTTGTTTTCCTCTCTAGAGAACAGGAAACACACGCGCGTTCCTCGCAAACCTTCTCTCATCTTCTCTTAAGCAAATTTAAACAACAGGAAACGCCAGGATTTGAAGTCCTGCAGCATCGCTCTCTGTGCTATCACATTTCAGCTGCAGCCATGCTTCCCGTGAAATTGTGCTCCACTTGAGAAACAAAATTGTCCTACCATACAAAACATCCGTTTCCAGGCCAAAAAAACAGCTATCTTTGCTAACCTTTTGGTTTCTTTTTTTG